ATTATTTTTTGATAGAGCTTGTTACAGCCATTCTGAAGTGTCTACATGTTGAACTAATACAGTATTATGAGGCATGTTGAGTGATAGAATTATCTCACTTTCACTGTATATTACACTGACTTGCCATTAGAAATGCTGAAACAAGAGCTCTCTAACTCACTGGTGGAGTGAAAGTGTCTCCACCACATACAGTAATAACACAGTACACAGACTTTGATTCAAAATGATTAAAAGTTACTTACAGCTTGCATTTATCATTAACATCTTGTGCTGCTGGTTTCTTGAGAGTCTTGAGGAACTCACGGAAACTGGTGGCACTCTTCTGAGGCTCAACTAGATTACATTCAAGTAATACAGAAAGCAACTTAAACAAATGCACAGTCAAGTGTAATAACACAGGCGCTTATAAAAAAACAGTGGAAAGTACACTAACAACTGATTCAGTACAGTGAGGCAACTTATACTTGCATGTTCTGAAGGGCTTGGCTTGGCTTACCTGGCGATAGGGTTACATTTGCAGCTGGAGCGTCGTCTGGTAAGGAAGATCTTCCAGGGCTCTTTTTGAATAATTTCTTTACACTCTGTCTGTTGAAATAAAAACACATATGCATGTGTTAGTTTGCCTAAAACTTAGTGCATTTATGGGAATTAATGAGTTCAATGACACTTACTTTTTTGACTCTAACTGAAACTTCTTTTTCTCTTCAAACTTGTTAAACTTTAGTTTTGAAGATTCCTCCTCCTCACGTCCCACTACGCAAGAAAAAAGATGGTTTAGTGCACAACACTTTCATTGACTGCAAAGCTAAATTAAAAGCACCCATGACATCCACCAGGACCATCCAGGAGTTTCGTGGATACACATCCTGGTCTCCCTGACAGGATTGTCAAATCCACATAAAAATACAACATGCTTTAAGAACGTGTATGTAGTATGCATGGTGTTGGCCAATTCTGGGCACTTTGGAGGCCATTATTTTAGTGACAGCTTAGTAGTACACATTGAAGTACAATGCATCACTTAGTTTAAATTCATTCATTCCAGCCTGTAAATATGCATGTCACTCCTCTTACAGATCAACTGGCATGTACAGTCTATGTGTAGGCACCCATCACTTTATGTGCATGCTATTGATTATTTATTTTTTCTACATTTTGTTCTTGGACTTTTGGGCTAGTGAGGAAAAATTAACGTAAATTTCAGAATCTTAACTAGCAGTTACTAGTTTATTTCTCATATATGAAAAACTGAAATCATTAGGGAAAAATGTACAATGTTGATTATTACCCTCTGCATGCAAATTTTTAGAGCCTCCTGATAATGCGTCTTCTCTGCTTTGTGATGCAGCCCGTGCCCTCTGCTGTTTTAGATACACTTCCCTGTAGCATACTGAACAGTAGCCTTTCCACGCTGGGTTTCCATAAAAACCACAACTGCAAAGTTTCAATGAGGTTCATTAGCACATTTTTACAGCCATGCAAAGTATCCATGGCAACAAATTGGGTCTATGAATTACCAATTAGTTACTACAATGAGATGGTTGAATCAAATTATGGTTGAAAATAAGGTATTCAACTACAAACAATTCTACATGTACATGTCTGCTGTGATTATCATGCTTTTCTTTAGATGCTACACAGTAGCTCTAAAAATTTAGAGGCATTCATTTAAGCTTCATGATTTTGTCCATTTCTCTGCTTCTGCTTGCTTGACAATAAATGTACATGTACAAACATATAAATATTCTCACACGAAAGGAAATATGTGTATGCATATATCAGTTCCTTGGTGTTTCCCTGTAACATAGTTGAACAGAAAATTCTTGAGAAATTATCCACATCCCTTACACCATTAACCATAATTTAATCTTGCTGTAGAAGGATGATGACGAATACTGGCTTCACAAAAATAAACAACATACCCTGTACTGTTATGTACTTGCATGTGTTATTACAGTGTATATAGATAATGTCAGAGGTAAAATTTTATTTCGGAACACGGAAACTTGACGAGACATCTTGACGTGAAATCACATGATTGTCACAAACGGTCAAGTTTCAGCATTTCCGTCCAAGATGGCGCAACGACCTCACACGACTATTATACTCAAGCTTTGCGACTCGATTTCTTTTTAACATTACTTATGATTACAAATCGCAGTTAACCTCGACAAGCACTACATGAAACTTTGTTTTCAAATTTCTACTTCAATTAAACGTGAAAGTTTAAGTAAAGAATGGCTTTATTGTGTTTAACCAAACACATTTTAATAGCGCCTTCTAAAACGAAACAGAAGACTACCTTGATATCCCATCGATGAAAACACCTTGTTCACGCGATACAGGTGTAATAGGGAACCAACAAATAATAATTTACACTCTCTTGAAGATCTAAAACATAAGCTACGTTTTTCTCTGTAACACTCGCAGCAGTTCTCACTACAATAAAAGTAGCTGGAGACGGAAGGTACAGTTTCACTATTCTTAACAAGACTTACCCCGTTTTACAGCGAAGTTCTGGGTTGTTTAATCTCTCGTAAATTTTTGATCGCGTTCTGTTACGATCACCCATAGTTTGTTTAGGGGCTACGGGGTGTGCTAGCAGGGTGAAAACGCGACACGCCTCAAAAAGCTGTAGCGCTAGCGCATCAAACCCTCCGCCATCATGTTGATACTGTGACGATGGGATGGAACAAGCGACATGGACTGATAACTACCTCGTAGCAGTGCTTTTGTCGAACTTAAATCCTGAATTTAGTTCGGCACGGCAAAAGCACGACGTCTGAACTGGGCCTTGGTATGGGCTTTTATGACAACGATAATCTCTTGATAATAAAATCTACCAGTACTATCATGCATCTGTATATATGCTCCTATATAATAATTCATGTGTTCGAAATATGAGAATACATTATCTTTTTATTTTTCTCAAACTCAGCTCTTACACCTGACACAAAACTTTGCAAGGCCAACTTAGGTCAATAAACGAATCGCACTTATGTACATATAATGAAATTGAAAAGCACATTGACACGGCAAATATTGCAAGGTAGGTACAGAGAACTGATTCGTCATGCTTGAATGACATTTAACATTCCCAAATTAAATGTTTAATTTTTGTTCATGAACAGTAAAACGAAGGTGACTATGAACGCAAGCCATAAGTCACATGTGATGCAAAGAGAGACATTTTTTAAGAAAATGAGAATGTTTGAAAGACCCGACGGGGAACCACTGCAAGAATAATCATCGTCTGGTCAAATTAAGTTGCTATCTTCCACATTCTAGACAGTAATGCTACAAAAACTGACGTTATGGTATTACCAATATTTTAATAGCCATAACAATGAACTGCTGTAAAGACCAAATAATTCTCTTTGAATTCAGAGATATCAGTTGCAAATTCACTGCGGGAAGGTGCACAAGCAAGGGACAAAAAGGCCCTTGTGATGAACATTTGCACACTCGAACCCAGCTAACGTAAAATGCGTAACAGTATTATCAGCTAAACAAGTAATACAGTATACCAATGAACATTAAACATGTTGATTCGATCATGCAGCAACTGAAAACACCTTTTTAGCAATTTTGAAGCATTAAACACTTCACGTCACTTGATTGTTATATGGCTCGTATAAGCAATGCAAAGACATTTTAATGGTTAAATCATTGTTAAGGATTAAATATTCCGTTCTTGCTACTGAAAGCACGAATCCTTTTCTGCACTTAACATTCTGTGAGGAATATTTTCTTCGACAAAATGATTATACGTAGATCGATCAATCAAACGATTATTTGATTAATTATTAAACTGCAATTGACTTAATGTATACCAAATTAGCCAAATATTGCCAAGACCTACTGTAAGGGTTTTAAAGACCATAAAAAAGAAAATGATTATAAACTGTCCATTAAGTGTAGTCTTGAATTAAGTATGCCTGGGCATCCAGTGGTTCTGTCCTTGCCGCTGAAAATCTGTGGAACATTCGGGTCACTTTATTTTTGAGAAGCACAATTCCTCGGAGAAGAAAACTGAAGCATCGCATTGGACACGAAGAAACTTTTTTCCAAAACAATCTCACATGAAGTAAACCTTCACCTGGCAAAAAAAGTAGAAAAAATAGTAATAATAATATATTTGCAGGGCCTCTTGTTGGTACAACATAACGTGATACCTTTAGTGCTTTAATTGGAAACGATGGTTACCCATTCACCTTTACTTTTTATCATTATCTTTTTTTTACTTTTATGTACGTACAATTAATCAGTTCTCGGAGCAATGAGATTAACATTGATCATACCCTCCAAACGTTTTAGGTTATTTTAACCCTATACAGATAAAGCGTTTGCTGGCCAGCCCTCTTAACAGACCCCTCTACGATTTCTGTTGACACCTTGGTTTTGGAGACAAACAGGACCAAAATTACAGTAAGTGTAAAGGATAAGTTGGGAGTTCGATGCCCAACAATGTAACAATGATTAAACGTTCTGAAGGTTTGTTTGATTTACAAGTTAGGATATAATGTTTAATGAGCAGAACAATGGCTGTGCCTACGGAAGGGGACTCCTATATAAAAAGGACGGGGTGCTCTTCGTACCTTTTAGAGTTTAAAAACCCAGTTTTGGTACCTCGTAGGGTTTAAGCCTCAAAAGGTCCACAGCGGAAGCTTTTGAGGTATCTTAGGGTGTTGAGCAGAGAAAAATATGGCATCGAGATAATGTGTTGTTTGGAATTGGTACCTCTTAGGGTAAACATCCCAAGAATGGAGTTCTGTCCCCGTATAAGAACTGAAGAGGCATCTTGCTCCTCTCTGTTGAAAGCAAAGTTCTTTGGAAGATCATTCTAGAAAGGATGAAGGATTCTCTTGATGACAGAATTCGGGATAAGCCAGCAGCATTTCGCTATCCTGCTGTGAACAGACTGCTACACTGAGGATTATCGTGGAGCAGACCTTGGAATGGAACACTGGGCTATATCTGCTTTTTGTAGACTTTGGAAAGTCCTTTGATCCTTTGGATTGGGAGGTGCTTTGGAAGATCTTGCAGCACTACGGAATCCCTGAGAAAAATCGTGAGGATGATCCGGGTCTTTTACGATGGCTTCCCAGCAAGGGTCTTGAGCATGAGTTATGGAGTAATGGAGTCCGCCAGGGATGCCTGCTCAGCTCCCTTCTCTTCCTCGTCGCGCTAGATTGGGTATCTCGTCACATCCTTGGTGATAATGAGACAGGATCCAACTTACCCTACTGCGGACGTTAGAGGACTTGGACATTGTGGACGACATGGTTTTGCTGAGCTAGAAGATCGCCCACATGCGTCAGAAGTTCGAGGCACCACAAGCACAAGCTGCAAGGGTCGGGCTCAAGGTAAATG